AACATTGTAGAGCAGGGGTTTCCAAACTTGCTCTGCTGTGTGCCACTCCAGTGGCACGGTGCTGTGCTGAGCACATGGCACGTGGGGCGGGGCTGTTCCAGCAGCGTCCATCCCACTCCCTGAATTAGCTTGCCCGTGACTTGTGGCATCTCAGTGGCAGTTTAGAAACCCCTGTTCAAGAACTGTATTTCGCTTCTCTCTCTCAGCTACGCCGCTCTGGTTTTGACTTTGCTGTGTGTCACTTGTTCCAGGAGTGTTTCTGGGGAGCCCAAAGACAGAGAGAAGGAGGATAGCAAAGATTCGAAGCCACGCTCCTTGCGCTTCACATGGAGTATGAAGACCACGAGTTCTATGGACCCGAACGATATGATGAGAGAGATTCGGAAAGTGTTAGATGCCAATAACTGTGATTACGAACAAAAAGAGAGGTTTTTGCTCTTCTGTGTCCACGGTGATGCACGACAAGACAGCCTTGTTCAGTGGGAGATGGAAGTCTGCAAACTGCCACGATTGTCGCTCAATGGAGTTCGCTTCAAGAGAATATCTGGGACTTCTATTGCGTTTAAGAACATTGCATCCAAGATAGCAAATGAGCTTAAGCTGTAAAGAGAACCTAAATTCTTTGGGATCAGGGAAGATTCATACATGATCTACACTTTGAATGTACTGGTTTCGCCTAATGTGATTGGCCTGTGAAACTCCCCATGTAGAAATTGCCCTTATTGCAATAAGGTTATACATAGTTATTCAGAATTGTAAAGTTAAATCCAGTATGACCTATATTAAATAACTGTAGCTAAAGAAGTTATGTTCACATGTACAGGTAAGTATATAGAGCATTCTGTTCATTTTATGTTCATAGAGTTGTATAATAAAAAGATGACTGCTTAAATTCAGATCTTGTATAGTTGTCTAGATTTCTGCACAGAAATGTATGTTTGATGCTTTGAGTTGGAAAAGTTCTTCCCTATCATTTACATTTTTGGTGGGTTTTATAAGTCTTACCTCTACCATGCATTTTTTAAAAAACTTGTGTCCTGAATCAAATGCACAAACTAGTTTTCACAACTGTAGCATGACCGTTTTTAATTATTTAAAAATTGTTCATGAGTTGAACCAAAAGTCAGTGAGTAATTGGCTTTTGTTCTACGTGAGACTGTTCCTGCTTATCTTTGGCTCTTATCCTTGTTATTGGACAGTGTTTAGTTGAAAAAAAGAGACAAATATGTTTACAGTGTTGGCACTTACAGTTTAGAAACTTTGTTCTGCCTTTGGCCAGCTCAGAGCTGTGGGGGAACAGAAACCAGGCATAAGTGATTTCTGTCTGCAAATTCCAGTGCTTATTCCCATGGCCCATTAACAAATGTAGCGCCAAAATGGAGAACCAGAATAATTTCATTTGAATATCTTGGTGTAAAATATCACTTATTTGCTGCCTTCAGAATACTACAAATTCCATTTTATGGAAATCTGTTAACATTGGGACTGTTTAATAGCACAAGATAATCTAAAGTGTTGACCAATTGTGTAAGTTAATAATACCACCTCAGGAATTAGCTTGGCTTTTGGAACATGTGCCCCTAAAGAGTACATGCAATTCCACATAATATTTTACAGCTAAACATACATTGTTTATAATGATGAATTGTTGATTTATGCTTTTGTGGTTGTACAGTTTGTTCCCATGTAACCTGTTTGTGTTTAATATTTTACCAGATTTCTTGTATTTATTCCACATCATTATGCCTGTAATGTGCAGCTTTGTAATTAGGCACTTGCCTACTGAAAAGAAAAAAAAAACAGCCCCACATTTTTTTTCCTTCATAATTAATGATTATAAACTATGTAAAACCACTAGTACTGGTACATTTTAATACTTGTTCTTTTGTACTGAATTAACCATAGAGGTTGGTTGTGCAATGTTATTTAATGTCGTAATTACTGTAATATCAACATATGGGCCCCATCTGCACACTCTTGTGAAGAATAGAAAGTTCATTAAGAAATCGTCACTTTAAAAAATAAAAATTAAAAAAAAAGCTGTGGTAAACTCTGTAACCCTAAGTTAGAAAGCTGTAAGTGTAGTAATGTGCCATTCTCTAATGGCTTCTTGACCAAGATGGACTTTACATACTGTACTGTGATGTAGCTTTCCTATGTAACAGTTATGTTCGGAGATGGACGTGTATTGTTGCCTTAGAAAAAGGGTGGTGTTTGGAAAGAAAGAACTGTAGCCCCTTTTCTTTTTTTTTATCTGATGTTCATTGAACCAAATCTGATGCAAGTCATCTTGATTCACTGGTGCACTCTATTAAAACTTACTTGAACAGTTCTCATACTAAAATACTTGTTGTTTGCCCTTTATAAAAGCACAGTCATCACTGCAGGTAGCAAAACAGTTTAAAGGTGCACAGGCTCCATCTTCAGCATGGTGTGAATTCAGAATTAGCATTGCATGGGTTCACTGGTCCTGCACTGTTCAGAAACTTATCAGTGGTTTAGCATTGCTGAGAAATGGCTGTCCAAGAGCTTTACAGGAACTCACCAAAAATTGGTCTGGGGAGGAGGGGGTTTTGTGTCTGCTCAATTTGCACATAAATGTCCATAAAAGATCAATTTTTTAAAAAAAAAATACACAACTGGAATGTAATCGTGATGCTAATCGAAGGTCATGTATGAACTTGGTCATGAAACAAAACCCTTTGCCTTTTCAGAAGAATCAGTGGACAAAATATAGGTCATGCTGTGAGACAGTAGGATTAAGTACTTAGGAGAGCTTCCCGCTTTACAGGCACTGTTTTTCCATGGCTAACTTTGCCCTAGATTGCTGCTGGTTTTCACCGTTTCATATAACCAGAGATGTATCAATGTTCCACAAAACACACAGCTTTTCCAGAGGACAGAGCTGACAAATTGTACTCCAGCTTTCCCATGAAACATGACATTGCCAATTTCATGTTTATATATCATGGCAGCTTGCATATGGTGTACTGTCCAGTGGCTGCCAGAGTGTGAAATTGCCCTGGTTCCTAAGCCCTATGCCCTCCTCCTTTTGTCTTTCTGGAAGATGAGCCAGGACCCACCTCATGCTCTCCATAGCAAACACACCTGGAGCTTCCTCAAGGGCACAGTTTGCATGCAAAAGGTCTAAGTGCACACAAGTTCAGCATTTGGCTTTCCAAATCTGCTGCCCCAGCAGGAGTAAGACAGGAAGACTGGAGAAGGCAGTTCTGAAAATGTCTCTGGTTTTATTGGCAAGCAGAGTCTTCTTAGTCTGGGATCAGTGAGACGGTGCCTACCCAACCTCAGTGCCTGGCTCTGGGCACCCTCAACAGCTGCCTTGTGCAGGACCTGTTACATACCAGTTACCCCTTAGGTAAGAGTGGGATAAGCTGCATTTCAGATCCCAATGTTCCCAACTTCCATGTGGGAAGGGACTGGTGTGGCATTTTATCAGCACAGCTTTAACTTTAGAAATACAAAAGAGTTAAATGCCACATCAAACTTCCCAGCTCGAGGCAAAGAAAGGTATGTCTTGAACCTTTGGAGGTCTCATGAATTCACATAATTTGTTGAACTCGTAATATTATTGGCAGCATCTCTGGGGTGGTGGTTGGGATGGGTGGGGGGTGAGCAATGGGGTTGCTGCATGGTTCAGTAGTCAGGGTTGGGGGTTTTTTTGCATTATTTCTTGCTTTGAGGTATACCAACATTTCCAAAACTAGTGCATCCCTTTTCACACAGTCCAGTTTAAAAACATTAAAATGTATATAAATCAGTGAAAATACAATAAACAGTCATTCCTGGTCCACTGAATGAATGACACTGCTGGGGAACCAAGTGGGGTCATTATGCCATATGGTAATGGATGATGCTAAAATTCCATGAACTGTTTAGACATGAGGTTTTGTATTATGTCATACATCTGAGGGTATCTTGGACCTCTTTATCTCAGAACATGTGATTCCCCTGGAGATGCTAAATCCCAGCTGAGAGATGTATTCTGTGAGGTTTTTATAGTTGAATTCTGGAAAGGGAAGCAAACTTGTGAGATACAAATGAAGTCTGTGGGGAAAGGCCTGCCTCTCTTGGGAAGATAGGGAAAAATTATCTACCTCAGAGCTTCTCCTTTATTGTGATAGAGCACTTCTGTAGTGACAGTCCTGAGGCTTAGCTCACACTTTCCACCCTTCAGGCCTCCATGGCCCCACTGTTCTTTACACAGCTTTCTGGAGCTGTGAAGTTGGTGAATCACCATCCTTGGGGCAGATAAGAATGCAAAGTGCAGGTTTTACTTTCCAAATATCACGCACAGATCTTGGGGAGATGCAGGTTGAAGGCTTTGCTCCTTGGTAAGAAAAATCCAGGGGAAAGGATTAGTCTGTCCCCGTGTTGCATCTGCTTGTCCAAAGCATTCATATGCACATCAAATGTTGATAAATACACCAAGTAGTTTAATAAATTTTATCTATCCTCCCTGTGCAGTTTTGGGTTTCTTGATGTGCCCCAGCTGAGGAACGCCGCTTAGGAGAGGCAGCTGTTACACTGCGGCACCCCAGCCGCCGAGGTGGGGCTGTCACAGCATCTGGGCAAAAGCCACTGAGAAACTTCGCCACTTTCCCCTTGGCCAGGGGTAGCCGAACGCAGCCCAGGACACAGAAGAGGCCGTTCACCCGTGGCTTTAGTAGGAACACTTATAACTGAGGGATGTGCAAGGAGCGTGGCGTTTTTCTCTGCCGGGCAAAGAGCGGGACCTCCTGCAGCGGTGCTGCCGTGGGCCGGGGCAGTGCGTGCGGTGCCACGGAACCATCTCCGGGGCCGAAGCAGCCCGGGCGCGGTGCGGTGCGGGGCTGTGCCGCTCCATCAGCGCTCACCTGTCCCCGCTGAGCTGACGGGCTCCGATCCCGGGCTCCCGCAGCGGCTCCCGGCTTCCCGCACCAGAGCGGGTCCGCAGCCGGGGCAGCGCCAGCCCCGCGCCGGGCGCCTCTTCCCGTGGCCGTCCCGCCCCGGGGAGGGGGCAGCGGCCGCCTCCGGCCACACCTGTGGCGCCGCGGCGGAGGAAGCGCCCGAGGTCGGCGCCCGAAGGCACCATGACGGTGGGCGCCAAGGTGAGGGGCAGGTTCTCCCGCCGCGGGGCCGGCGACGACCGAGTCTGCATCCTGCCCGGCGAGGAGGAGGAGGCGGCGGGGGCCGGGGGCAGCGCGGTGGCCCCGCGGCCGGCGGCGCTGCGGGAGGAGGAGGAGGAGGGCGCCGGCTGCAGGAAGGTTCGCTTCGCCGTCCTGCCCGGCTCCTACGAGCCGCTGCGCCCGCCGCGGGCTCCCGGCAAGCGGCACTACGGGAAGCGCCTCAAGAAGTACGGAAAGGTGAGAGCACAGCGCGCCCGGCACGGCCGGAGCGGGGACCCTCGGCACGGGGACCCTCGGACGGGACCCTCGGCACGGGGACCCTCGGACGGGGACCCTCGGCACGGGGCCCTCGGCACGGGACCCTCGGACGGGGACCCTCGGACGGGGACCCTCGGCACGGGACCCTCGGCACGGGGACCCTCGGCACGGGACCCTCGGACGGGGACCCTCGGACGGGGACCCTCGGCACGGGGCCCTCGGCACGGGGACCCTCGGCACGGGACCCTCGGACGGGGACCCCCGGCACGGGACCCTCGGACGGGACCCTCGGCACGGGGACCCTCGGACGGGGCTCTCGGCACGGGGACCCTCGGACGGGACCCTCGGCACGGGGACCCTCGGACGGGGCTCTCGGCACGGGGACCCTCGGCACGGGACCCTCGGACGGGACCCCCGGCACGGGACCCTCGGACGGGACCCTCGGCACGGGGACCCTCGGCACGCCATGGGGATCCCCGGGTCTGCGGTGCCGAGAGGGCAGCGGGGCCGCTGAGTTCCGAGGGGCTTTTGGAATTGCCCCTCATCCCGCGGGCATTTCAGGACCAGCGCCCGGCTCCAAGGTGGGGTCGGGGCTTGCTCCGGACCTGCCCGGGAAGGAGCCGGTGCTGCTGCGGGGGGGGCCGGACACCGATCGTCGCCTGGATCAAAGAGCACAAAATCTGTCTGTTCGAAGTGAAAATGACACTAAGCTGATCCATGTGACGGGTGCTTTGCGTCGCTTGGTTCTGCGTTTCCCTCAGGGTCATTATTTAAAAACTATTCCTTAAAACTTCCAGTTAATTGGCCTGCTATTTTTTTCCCTTCCACTGAAGTGCCTGAAAGAAACGATAAACAGCCCTGCAGGACATTCCTTGGCCAAGGTGACCCTTAGAATTCACTGCTGTGAGTTACAGGGGCAAAAAATAAAAGCAGCTTGTTCTTCATCTGTAACAGTAATTTTGGATCAAAATTGTTCTTTTGCTTTCCTGTGTGGGAAGTCACAAGTCCTGCAGTCTGGTGGTTTGGTTTTCCTCCCACCGGAAGATTGGTGCCTTTAGTTACAGAACTGCCATGTGGAAGAATTCTATTGTTTTTCTCTTGTTCATGTCACTTAAGTACATCTCAGGTATGTCTTGGATGTTCGTAGCAAACAATAGTTTCTATGTTCGCAGGAGAAACATTTCTGTGTCAGGAATCCTTTCCTGCTGCTGAGATGTCAGCATGAGACTTGACTTTCTACTGCATTCTATCAAAAAAATCATGATTTTGGTAAAGATATGCTTGCTATGTCTGACATGCAGAAAATGCCATTAGCCTGGCAAAGTTACTTTTGAAATTCAGTTTACAGATGTCAGCATTGTCAGGAGCTGCCTCTCAAATCCTACTGTTTCATAAAGAAACGAACAGAATATTTCATTCTTTCATGATGAATTTGATTCTTTGCATTTTCAGCACAGTGTTTTCCAGGTCCCATGCTGTAGGAAGCTGTCTCAAGCCATAGGCCTGATGTGTATGGTACAGTTTTGTGAGAATATTTGCAGCAGGTCATCACTTTGCTGGTGGTGCTGTTGGTATAAAGATGCCTTTAATGGTGTTTAGAGCACAGGACAGCTCTTAGGTACTGTGTATTCCCTTTTGTGTTGGTCAGATGATATTCCCACGGGGAAGTGTTGCCAGTTTGGCTCTGGCATAAAGAACAACTCATGGAAGAACAGGTGAGGTCTGGGTAAGGGAAGGGCAGGAAGGGGGAAAGAAGACTCCTGTGTGACATAGTGAGGCAGGGGCAGATGTGGGAAGGGAAGGCCTTGCACCTCTCCTCCAGCCTCAGGATCTGCCCCCAGGCTCGAGCCACCTTTTTATTTTGGCATCTTAACTCCTTTTGAGTGAGTTTCCATGGGAGTAAAACCAGCAAAGTTCAACTGTGTAGTATCATCATGACAGCTGAAGGTTTTTATGTGCCAGAACCTCTGTGATCCAGCTTTAAGAAATCATAAGAATATAATAGATATTGACTAGATTTCACTGATTTAAAAATACTTACTCAGATTCCATTTTTTCTATAAGAGGTTGTTTTAATCTAGTCCTGCACAACCATAAGGAGTAAATAAAAATTAATTCTGATATTCCTCCAAATCTGACTACATTGTATTGATTCACCAGCTGAGAGTGGCCACATGACCAAAAGCTATCAGAAATGAAATTAAAATTAAATTAAGGTTTTCAGTTAAATAATCCATGGCAAGTTTATCTCTAGTGTAGTATATAGATGAGTTTCTGAATGTGTACTGATGGGGACCATAACTTTCTTACTTTGACAAAAGAAATTGTATTTTGACAAAAAGCAATGACCTTTCCATAACAGTATTCTCAGTGATTACTGCCTTCTTGTTCAGCTCCAGTTTTAGCACACTATGAACTTCTAGGAATTGCTAACATAGTTAGAGCATGTAATGTGGGAATTATGTACTTCTACAAACTAGGGTGAATTTAAACTAATTTTATTCTTGAATAGAATCACATGTAAAAGCCTGGCTTCCTGTGGAGGCTGCATCCGTTCAGCTTAACTATACCCTGTGGGTGTGTATGCCTATATAAAAATAGATGGTAAAATGTTTTTCCACTCTGCAGCCCTCGTTAGCTGTGGGAGAATTTCATTTTCTGGGCCTGTGACATTGGCTGTCGGAATGATTTTACGTGAAGGTATTTTCTTTCACCCTGTCTTTTTTTAATCCCTTTTTATCATCTCTCTCCCCAGAATGTTGGGAAGGTTCTGCAGAAAGGTTGTCACTACTTGGTGATTGGCCTGCAAGGATTAGCAGCAGCCTATTCTGCTCCCTTTGGAGTGTCAACACATGTGGCATCCTTCGTCCGCTAGGACAGCTCCCTGTGCCCCATGGGAGAGGACACGAGGCCATTGCTGCTTTCTCAGGATTAAATTTGAGACCTGGATCTGAAAAACCTCTTGGACCAACATCCCTGAGCCTCTACACCAGACTCTTTCCAAGACTGAGTGCTCTTCTCTGGAAAAAATTCCGGTGCTTTGTAAAATCAGATTGGGTCAAAGAAGTGTAAGGATGAGGAAATAATCTTTGAATAATAGAACTGAAGTTTGCTTTGGGGCATGAGTTGGTTTTCCAGAGCTTCCTGCTGTTTGGAAGGGAGCCAAGGATGGATGGAAAAGCAAGTAGGTGAGGGAGAGAGAGGAAAACAAATGGGGAGGTGGAGATGAGTTTGGGTAGTGAGAGGAATTGTCAAAGAAGTGGAGGAAACAGATAACAGAGGATTAGGAAAGTGTTTGGTTTTCTGAAATTCTGAGTTTGGTGCGTTTTTTTTTTACCTGAGAGGGTTAAGATTATGAGTGTACTTAAAAATATACTTGGACATAAATGGAATGTGGCCTGAGACATGGAGAGCTCTGCTGCATCATAGTTGTTCATTTCAAACCCTGGACATAATGAGCCTTTAAATAATCATGAGAAAGATGTAAAAATACAGAAAGAAAATAAGGTGTGTATTTGTGATTTTGGGGGATTAAAGGCTCACTGTGATTAACATTTTCAACTTTTCCTCTGCTACTGTGAAATCTGCATATATTTTTTTTACTGGGAATGGAGTTCATATGTGATACTCCTGATTCTGGAAGCTGGGCCATTTTACGCCTGATTTTGTGGTGTTCACCAGGGGAAAAACAATTGATTGCCAGCAGCATCTGAGGAAAAAAAAAATATATATATGCAGCATTTGGTATAAGAATGAACAAGTGTGATATATGAGAACAAGGCCAAATAACCTGCCAGCTCCATCATCATTTCTGCACCTGGAAGCTGTAGGAGGAGGATGTCAGTATCAGATGGCTCAGCTCAGTGCTGCAGATGCAGCAGCTTCCATGTCACACCTCCAGGGACATAAATCATATATTGATGACACAGGAACAAGGTGGTTTATGGGCCTTAAAAATTTTGTGGGGTTTGTTTGTTTGTTTGTTTCTGTCAGTCTTTTGTGGTAGTTGTAAATGACTTCCCTGCTAGCACTTTCTATGTATTACATATCTTTCTAGTTTTGATGGTGTTTTTGTAATCAAGGAGTTGATTTAACTGGAAAAAAATGCTGTTCACTTGCTTTCTTTGCCTTTTCTGAACAAAGGAGTTTGTATGTCTTGGCAAACCACACTGTATTTCTTTTAAATGTAGCAAATGAATCAGATGGGGGGGGTGGGGCAGGGTGTTATGCTCTTTTCTAACTGGATTGTAAATAAAAGCCACGAGATCCGTGTCTGTTTTTACCTACACACGTAAGTAAGCGCACAAAGGAGGAGTTTCTCAGCAGCAGCCCAGGGGAAGCTGCAGTGTAAACTTCCCCACGTTGTTTTGCCTGTGGCCTCAGGGCCCTGGCAGGACATGATTGCAGCCCAGACCGTGTAGAAATGCTCAGGAACAGCAAGGTGTGGAGATGAGGCTGCAGAGGATCTAAGGTTGCAAAAGCTGGGGTAGGAGTAGCCACAAAGGGATTTTGCTCATTGATTTCATACCTTCAGTTGTTTCTCTTGAGCTTTTTTGTAGGGACAGACCTGTCCCTCTTATCTGCCCCACCAGCCTGTTGATAATGCAGTAAGAACAAGGTTGTCCTAACACCCGTATGCCACACCAGCCTGCAGGGTTTGGGATTAACTTCAGATTTTGTTACATGACTGCCTGTTTCACAGTGCTCTTACAGCATAAATCATTAAACCTTTTTTCCAAATTACTAAAGCCATGCAGGAAGAGATTAGTGTCTCCATTTTTCTGTGTGGAGTGAGTGTCCCATCGATTTGTCTGTATGTCCCCTGACTAGTAAGGCTGCTCCCTCATTGCAACACACAGAGTCCAGCCCATTCAGACCCTCCACAAAGGTAAACATGAACCTTAGCTCCTGAACTGCTCAGCACAGTGGACTTTTGCCTGCTGACATCCAGCCTCTGCTCACCTGGTGCAACTTTAAGGGAATAACCTGGTTGCTATCCATACAGAACCTGAATGACATGTACGTGGTGCTTCTGTGTGAGCCTGAGAAAAGAAAAGCTTCAGGCATATTGGTGAGTCAGCTTTGGCTGGCCAATGTTTCTAAAATAGACCAAAAACAAAGAAAGAGGAGAGAGAAAGGAAAAGTAAGCAAGTAACCTGTGCTGCTGCAATAAACCTGCTAATGATTCATTTTCCTCCTGCAAAACGAACTGATGGTTCTCACTGAGGTTACCAATTAGTGCTGCTTATCAGTTCTCCTTGAGCAGTGATTCACTCCTCAGCTCCTGAAGGGAATTTGTGAGGCCAAGCCTTGGCTTCAGGGTTTGCTGCTCTCTTCATTAGCCCAGCTGAGGAAGCAATGCCTAGGAAATCTTAATCCAGAGGGCGAGGTTCATTTCTCAGCTGGGTGGATGGCAGAGGGCTGTACCTCCTGTCAGCCATGGCAGCATCTCTGTTGGGCCAGGTCTGGCTTAGCTGTGGTGCAAGCAGGTGGAACAGGGCAGGTCCTGCAGCTCTGTTGCTAAATGTTGTCTCAGTGGCATGAGAGATGAGGAAATATTCCCTGATCCTCTCAATGTTGGCTGGCAGGTCACCTGCTCAGCCAAAAAAATGGGCAGCCTCCATCTGAAGCAGAACTGCCATGCTGGAAGTCTGCACGTGAGATGAGGGAGAGCAAGATGCTGGTGATGGGGAGGAGGCTGGGACTGGGGAAGAGCCTGTGTTCCCAGCCCCGGTGGGTGCCAAGCCATGAGGACAGTCTGGGACATGAACCTTGGCTTCTGCACAGGTGTTATGTATTCTTGGCAAGGTGGTCCTTGGAGGAGCCACCCCAGCAGAGACAGCTTTCAACCCACAGGTGCACACAGGCTCTTTTATTAAAATAGGCTTGTCTGCAGCTGAACTCCTGGTGCCTCTGAGGAGCAAAACAGGTGTTTGACTCGCTCATAAACAATTTGGGTTGCAGTGGATACCAAAGTGAATACATGGAGAAGGTTTGATTTGATGTTTGAGCTGGACAAAATATGTTCCACCCTTCAGCCCTTTGCATGAAACCTCTACCCATTGTTTCATTTGTCAGGTTTGTCTTCAGTGGTGTGCTGCTGGCCTATTTGATTCCCTTCAGCTTTCCATACACCTTTCACTGTGTTTTATAACAAATGGCAGGATAAATAGGTTCAGGAAGCTGACTACATGTAAGAGTGGCAAGAAATACGTAGTGAACTTGTCCATGCTTTTCTCAGAAACAAACTCCACTAACCAGACAGTTTGGCAAGTCACTTTTACTTTAAATTCCTGGCTACTCCTTGTGAATGGCCAATGAGTCACAGAGCAGAATAAAGCATATTTCTTCTGGTTTTGCCAGAGTATTTAATTACTCCTCTGGCTTACCACAGGCTCTGAGGAAATGGCAGAGGACTCAGAGCTATTGTCCTTTGTCCTGTAACATTAGCAGCAAGGAAGCACTCTTGCACAGCTTGCTTTGGAAGTGCAGTGACTGAGAAGAGCTGTACCACACCACAGCACTTTGGCACTTCCAGGTCTTTGCCCCTCCCAGGTCACAGATCACTCCAGGGATGAATGTCCTTTCTGACCTCTACCTGTCTGTAAGACTGGGAAAGGGGCAGGTTTTGTTTTGGGGTGCAGTAAAACCAGTTGTCTCTTTTTCTGTATCCCAAGTCCCTTGTTAGCTGAACGCTGGCCTCTTCCGAGACAAAACTGATCCTAAAATATGCACACAGTTGCTGCAGCTACCTGTACAGAGTGTGCTTTGGAAATCCTTTTTTCTTCAAGGAAAAGCAGAGAGCCTGAAGAACTTGTAGATTAATGGAGATAATTAAATTAAGAGAAAGTAAAGGAATAAAATAATTTCTTTTCTTCTCCTTTCAGGATGTAGTATTAGGCTGCCAGGCCTGTTTTGGGGTGAAGTCTAGACTGGGCTCAAAGAGGGTGGTGCACTTTCCTGAATCCTGCAAGGTGCATGAGGAGAGACACAGGGCTCTGGACATTCAGCTGGAGGAGGAAAGACTCGGGAGAAACTTGACAACAGCTTTTCAGTGTGTAAGAAAGGGTTTCCAACAATATAGAGCTGGGCTCCTTACTGAGGTCTACAGCCAGACAGCAAGAGATAATAAATCCAAACTGGGGAGCTTTCAGCCAAGTCAGGGAAAGCAGTAATATGATCACTAAGCATAAGAGGATACTTCAGGAGGCTGGAGTCGGTCTGTGGTGTGTCTCAAGGCATGACTGTACAAAGTGGGAAGCAGCCCACAGCGTTCACCTTGCTGTGAGCCGGAGGCTGGAGGAGAGATCTCCTGGGCTTCTGCCAGTCTGGATGAGGCTGAGAGTGGGATTCTTCCATGGTAAGGAGAAAGCTTTTAATTTACCTACTGTATGGAAATGTAGAAGTCTGAGCTCCTCGCCCTTGCTAGAAGCACAGACGCGAAGAATAAAGCTTTGCTCCTGGTAACAAGGAGCGACTGGCGAGGGCGGCAGCGATGCCGGAGGAGCAGCTCCGCTTCCACCGCTGCTTCCACTTCCCTGCGTTCCACTGGCTGAAAGGCGATTGTCCTTTACTGCCATCTCCTGGGAAAAACCCACAGATTTCCAGCCTGCCCCGTTGTTCTGCCTCATCTCCTGCAGGGATTTCCTGCCTTTCCCTAGGCTGGCCTCCAGAGCCATCCTCAGGATGTGGGGACACAGCAGTGTAATGTGCATCTCTGTACACCGGTGTTTCCTACCCAGTGGAATCCTGATCTTGCTCTGCCCAAGTGTTTAAAATGTAAAGCTATAGGAACATTGTTTTTGTGTCAGTTTTTTTTTTTTCCTTCAACGCCTAAAAATGCATTGCACTCTGCCCTGAAGTTCTTGCTGCATCTCAAAAACATTCCTTAAGGAAGATTCACTAGAGGTGAGGGGATGAGCCACAGCCACTTCTTGGTTCTAAATCTCATCTCATCAATTGCCTACAAGAGGGTGTGTCATTTTGTACAGGAGCTTGGCAGGCTGGAATGAGACTCCCCCAGGAGTGCCTTGGACCCCACTCCAGCAAACCACAGTTGCCTCCTCATGCTTTTTGTATTCCCCTGTTTCTGCTGCCTGTAAACGATTCTTTGCTCCTTCCTTTCCTGGGACACTGAACTAGCGTCAGATTGTTTTTTCAGCTGTGCCTCAATTAGGGTGGGGACTTTCCTGTCCTTGGTGAATCCCATCCTGCCCTGTGATGACTGATAAGCCAGAGCTGCAGAAGTGTTAATGTTTGTGCTGCAGAACAAATGCCCTGCTCCCCTCAAAGCCTCTCCTTTGGTCCTTACCTGCTCTCCCGGGTGACACAGAGCTCTACCCTGGAGACTCCTGAAGCTGCCGATGGATGTTATTTTCAGATGGAAAATAATAACATTTACAGAACTCTAGGAGAACTCATAAGGTCAACGGCCTCTTTTAGTTAATGGGCCAAACATTTGCAGGAAAAACAATTTCTGTGTTTTCCTGATGCATTTAGAAAGACTGAAGTTTAGTTTTTGACTGGAAGAAAAAGATAATTGTCAATTAATCTTCCTATGTGTCTGGAATGACAGCTGATAGTTACCAAGGTAGCTGATCAACCAGCTCAGGTTTTGGGTATAAATAATTCTCTGTATAGGGAAAACCTCATCAAAAAAGAGATCCTTTTATATCTTTGCTCTGGCTTCATTAAAAGGCATCCATCATTAATGACTCTATTTATGACTCTATCATTGCCAATTACTTGTCTGAGATTTTTCCACACATGAATTTCAATGAGCTCATTTCTAGTGCATGACTCACTGAACTCCGATTTCCTTCAAGATTTTAAGAGGAAACGGCAATGCTTTTATCCTCCCCTCCTCTCTGTGAAGGGATTTCTTGAAATTATTGTTTGTTTTAACTTTGGAAAAAGGATATATTTTGTGTGTGTGTGAGTATAATGTTATTTTTATCACATCTTGTTGAAATCAGCATATTTGGCCAGTTTATCCCCTCATCCCTGCCTTGTGCTGAATTATCAGAGAGTCACTGAAAAAATAATTGCCATATCCCTGGTGTGTGCATTTAATTCCTTTACTGGGACAAGCCCAGGCTACATTTAGTTCCATTCTAACACAATGACACCTAATTGAGGCCAGCATTTTGCTGTCTTTGTCACTATATTTTTCATAATGTCCATCCAAACCTCTCCTCTCAATGTGGTTATATATATCTTTCCAAAGTACAGCACTGTGTACATATTGAAAACCTAGAAAATCCCCATCTGTTTTGTGGTGGTTTTTTTTTTGTTGTTGTTTTTTTGGGGTTTTTTTTTGTTGTTGTTTTTTTTGGTTTTTTTTGTTGGTTGGTTGGTTGGTTGGTTGGTTGGTTGGTTGGTTGGTTGGTTGGTTTTTTTAGTGGAAACAAGTAAAATTGTTCAACTCTTTCCTCATCATTCAACTTAGGCCTCTGACTGAGCTGCTGCTACAAGAGTGTCTAGGTTTGTCTCCAGAATTATCTAAAATATCCCACTACATCTGAAGGCAGATACACCTTTTACATTCTCCATAATTTTTTTTTTCTACCTGAAAATTTGTCCTGTGCTACTGAGTTAACACCATGCTTTTTAAAGCTATGTCAGCATCATCCACTTTCATGACTGAGGGAGTCCAGCCCCAGTTTGCTGCAAGACTGACACTGTGAATTTCTCATGTGATCAGACACATTTTAAAGAAGCCTGCAACAAGGGAAGACCTGGTGCAGAGAATGTCAGCACAACTGTCCTGAACTTTGATGATGTTATCAGCAATTGAAAACATGTTTATTTGCTTTTTAAGGGCAGGAATACTGTGCCTGCTCTGGCTACAGCAAACAGCTCTGCCACACAAGAGGCTGTGTTTGGATTGCAACAAAACCAGTACCTGTTTTGTCTGAGTGGCTCTATTCACATTGCTTAAGAGTACAAGGAGCTGATGGCTCCTAGGTAAGCACCAGTGTGCCAGGGATGGAGGATGAAACAATCCTGCTGGTCAGGCTGTTGACTGGAGGCTGTTTGGGAGATACCTGGTGTGTGGGTGAAAGCCTGCAGACTCAGACCTGAAACATTTCACCACAACTGTGCTGTCCACAGCTTTTTCTGATCTTGTGTTCCTCGTTTCATAGCAGGAGAAGAGAGATTATACAGATGCTGCTGCCTTCTGTTATTTCTTTAAGCTCCTCATGATACTCTTCAAGAAGAGTTAGGGCTGAATGTAACAGAAGGGCTGATTTAAATAAAATCTCCTTAGGCTCCTTAGGTCAGTAGATCTAAGGAATGAAAGCTTAAGGTCCTTCTTGGATTTTAAATTTTTTTTTCTCTAAATTAATACCCAATTGTTAGCCAATGTGAGCTATTTCTGAATTCAGTTAACAAGTCATTTGAACTAAAATAATCTGGTTCTGTACATCGCTTTGCTGCCCATAGTGTGCAGCTAGGAAGGAGCTGTAGCTTCTCACAACTATCAAGGTCTCTACTTCTCCAAATTCTCATGCTGGTAGAGTAGATACATGCTCCAGACCTATTTTCTCTGGCACTCAGAAGAAACAAGCAAAAAGTAAATCACCCATTTATTTTCAGAAAAAAATTCTCTCAAAATTCTGTTAAATTCTGTTATTTTGATGCCTCATAGACAGAAGTTTGGAAAGCAAAATTGTTCTGCACTTTGCAGTTTGCACAGTGGAGAATACTGTGCTCAAGAAACCACAGGAGTTAATTACTCATTTTTGCCTTAAGCTGGTGTAAATAAGCATTAATGTTTGTCAGAAGTGGACAGCATAAATAGTAGTTTGTTTGGTTTTTTAATTTATTTCACGTGATGCATTGCTTTCCTAGTTAAATTCTAAAACAAGTTTGTGTTTTTATCTCTTTAGTACTTAGGTTAATATAGTTTGGTTCCTGCTTGCAAGCACTGCTCATCAGACATGAGATAGTTGCTCACACACAAGATGCCTGGTTCCCCTTATTGCATTTTTCTGCTCGTGTGGGTGCAGGTGCAGATTACAGATCACTGTGTGAATTCAGTTAAAGTCAACAAAATATAAACTCCATGTTAAATCAGAAGATTAATGATTACCAAAGAATGCAAGGGCTCTCAGTCCACTCAGAGGGGTTGCTCCCCTCTTGTGTCTGTGGAGGAGTCATAAAGGCAATCACAAGTAATAATTTTTGACTCAATGGGTCAATGATTTGAAGGTGTTGGGGCAGGTCTGGTTTTACCAGAGCAAGCAGTTTAACACCTATGATTTACCTGGAGCAATGTGGGGATCCCAGGGATATGGAGGACAGGGTGTCCAGGAAAGTAGCACAGGAAGGGGTCTCAAGTGACATAGAAGGTGAGCAGGCAGCAGGTTGTCTCTGCATGTCCTCCACATAATCCAACAGCAGCATAAGGCTCTGCTGATCAATAGTTAATCTCCAGAACTGTTCTGCATTTGTTCAGGGGGCAGATTCTAAATAAACACAAGTTCTGTTTATCTTTCATGTTGTGGTGTACTTGTAGAAGGGGAAAGGTCCCAAAACCCATGACTGGAATCAGAGCATGGTTTAAACAGCAAAGGGGTGAACCAGAGGGCAAAGGCACTGCCCTCCTTGTATTTTCACACAGCTAATGTTACCAGGGACCTGTACCCCAGCATCAATTAGTAAAATGTGAATAACAAGGAGCAACTACCCCAAATGGCTGGGAGACCACAAAAATAATTGAGCATCCTGATGAGGAATGTACTCATTATTCCCTTCTGTACCACACCTACTCAGGTGGACTGTTGTCGCAGCACTGCTGCCTGTCCAGCACCCTTCATCTGAAAGAAGCAGGCAAAGACATTTGCAACAGAATCAGGTTTAATTCCCCTCTGTGCTCAGGCAGCTCTCTGTCTCTTTGGCACTATTTGTGTCTTGATTTCCTGCTCACAGTCATATCCTGGTCCTTTTAATTAAGGACTCCTCTGTGCACTCCCTTCTTGCCCATGAGGAAGATCAGGTTTTGGGGTCATGCCAAGTAGGGATAGATCTGCTGTCACTGCCTTTGCTTCTGACATCCATCACATTGTCTTCATCCACCAGCTTTTCACAAATCCCACCGTACTTTTTACAATCTACGGTGATTCCCATTGACAGGAACATTTTCCAGTCCTGGTCTGTGATCAAGTGATTCTTGAGGTCAATTTGAGGAACTCTCCTGGCTTGATTGCCCGCACGTACCCATTATCAAAAAGGTTCACAATAGCCTCATCTTCAATGTCCCTCTCCACCAGGATGCTGCTGATGGAGTACTTCCAATAATCCATTGTGCCTGGGCTGTCTGAACCTCCCAGAAATGCCCAACATTGAGCTTCCCCATCTTCTGCATTCTGGGACTTTGCCCTCAGCACACTTATCACTAAAATTTCAGTTTGTGAGTTTGGCCATCAGATCCCAAAGCTCTCGCTTTGCCTGTGAGAACAGACCTGTGGCAACAGTGACACTTGCCACTCCAGCCTGTATTTGATGTCATATTTGCCTTGCAGCTGTGTATCCCACAAAGCAACTTCCCTGAGGAAGGGGTCTCAGGAGTTTGGTACCAGGCAGAGGGGGTGCGCAGATGTCCCGACAGCACTGGACACCCCATTTACTGCCCTCCATGCCTCCATCCCCCTGCTCCCCTTTTCCCCGAGCCAAACCCAACGCGTGAATTTGACCTGTGTATTCCCACACGGCCCACACTTCCTGCGGCGCTGCTTGCGCCGAAAGCCCGGATATGGGACGGAACGCAGCATTTATCGGCGCTTTGCCGAGCCGGACGCTCGGCCGTGGGTGTGCCCCGCTGCGCCGCCCCTTTCTCGCACCGAGGCTCCGGGCGGGCTCGGAGGGCCGGGCCCGTGTGCGGG